TGCCATCAAATGTGTCCTTGTTTGATTGTAAATAACTTAATTTTGAAGTTTATATTCGGACGTTACACAAGAATTGTCAATTTGTCAATGGTAACGTCCGGATTACTATATTGTCGAAAATTGTGGCATACCTTCCAACAAACATGTTAAAAGTACACATAGTGTAGCTCACATTGTAATACAATGCTTGCAATGCTTTCACAGTTTTAGAAGTCTACAATACTTTGTATATAAAATTGTGAATTCAACAAATTTTAGTAACGTCCGTAACACTAACAACTTAATGTATTATTCTGTTCAAAATGTTAATTTCTGAGAAATGATCATTATAGGCACACAGCACGCATCTAACTTGTTGTAAATTGACATTCATCCTCAATTTAGCCCTTGTATTTTTATTTCAAAACCTTGTCAAAGCATGTTGAGTAACGTCTGTAACTTTCAAACTAACTCATACAAAATCTGAATTTTTATATATAATATGCACTCAAAACTATCTTTTGAAAACGTAGCCTTTCTAAAATTTTAATACATCATCTATAATCAGGGCCTATACAGTAAAGAATACATGCATCTTTATTTTGAAAGATGTTGTCACAAAAATATTACTCAATAGCTCAGAAGCACCCAAATGAAAGCACTGCATCTTCTGCCACGTTCAGAACGTATTCACATGAACAACGTAATAGTCGCATGAACAACTCTGGCACGCATCTAGTATCACATTTGCAGATGAAAACTTCGCATAAATGCATAACAAGAACGATGATATGACGACACCGTGCTCACTACATGTCTACATACAGTAGATAATACTAGTGTGTAATGAGACCAACTTTCTACACCGACACAAACCATGGCCACTCAGCCTAATATCACTCAGCTGGCATTAGTAATGGATAAATGGTCAATACATTATAAGGATATGTCGCGCATTTAAAAGCACAAGGACTTAAAAAAGGTGTTGTATAGATCATGAGAATATGTCATTTAAAACAATACCCTGGAAAATGTTCCCTACTTCACCCGATTTAACTTTGAACAGGGTTGGTTTGTGCAACTTCTCATATTTAACCCATGCCTATGTGGTGCCACCTTTTACTGATTGCTTACTAAGAAGTATATCTAGCGCTACAGTCGTTTAAAAAAGAGAAAATTCCGCCCATCAAGGTGTCCATCTTGGGAGATGTCAGTTCTTGAGCAACTACATTGTGTTCCAAAGCCCGATTCAATATGCAGCTCAGGACAAGAGCTAAGCCTTTCGATCCTCACTCTGCAACAAACATCAACGATTTAGTTATAGATTACCATTTCCCAGCAATCAGCAATAATTGTAAAATGCTCGGAACTTCAGACAAGGTTACATAACTTGGACACAAGGCACAATGCACAATGACAAGACACAAGGAACAAGGCACAATAGACATTTCCATTTTCATCATTCGTAAAACATGACTCACAAACTGTGTGGTGCAAACACATAACAAAACATACTCATATATCTAATCTATATTTCAGTTCGTATATACGTATGTATGTATGTATGTATGTCCCCTATGCCCGGCCAAACCGCCCAAGCGATCTGGATGCAATTTTCAGAGGGCGATTTTATATACCCGGGGAGTGTTCCTAGACGAAAAAAAAGATAAAAAAGTTAAAAATTGATAACAATTCAATAGATGGCGGTGCGTACAATTAACATGACGTACGTGTGAATCCATGGTGTATAACCTTAACGGCGCAGTGGCCTAATCGCTAGAACATCCGTCTCCTACACCGGGATTCCGGGTTCGAATCCCACCTCGGGAAATACTTTGTTTCTTTACTTTTGGATTGTTTAGTATGTACTTCTGCCACTTCACCGTTAATTTCAAAATTAA